AAACGTTGTTTATAAAAGTAAGCATAAAAGCCGCCCCTTAAAATAACCTAATACTAAAAAATTAGCGCGAACGGACTGGATCCGGAATATATGTCCCCGAGGATCTCAAGCTGCCTGATCGTATTAAGAGACGATCGGTAGAGGTAGAAATGGATGAGCACCGCCGGAGCTGTATGAAATACCTTACACCTAAGGGTTTTAACCCTGCAAAAGTTTGGAGCGAGACGATCCACTCAGGATGCTACAGGAAAGTTCTTCACAGAATTAAAGGTATCCCATACAGCCTATTAAATAGAATGGCTGAACTTAAAACCGTAGTGAACACAAAATTCCCTAACGTCATTGACATCTGCGAAACATGGTTAATATAAGAAGTGTATTGTAGTTAAATTCAGTTGCTTGGTTTCTCGTTTTGTAGGGCTGACAGAGAAAACCTTGGGGGTAGTGGGGCTATATTGCATATGAAAAATAACTTAAACACACAAGCTGTCGAGCCAGTGACACACGGTTAAGGGACGTGTGAACTAGTGTGATGTCGACTGAAAAGTAAGCAGAAAGATATTGGATTTTTCATAGCGTGGCGGAAAGAACGGGCTGAAAATTCCTCCAGAGCATTTTATTGTACAGTACTGTCGGTTATTTATTCCTTCACTTTCTCTTGTATTTGACCTTCATTCAGGTCTCTTTTGACCGCACCTTATGTTCTTCAATCTTCCTCTTCTGAGTCTTTGTCGTTGCCCTGGCTAAAGACTTGTCTTTTGTCAATTTATCCATTAGTTGCATGTTCTCGGGTTATTAATATTAGGGACGTGTTTGACTAAACCCAGGGTCGCGGCGTGGTTCAGAGAATGATTGTCAATCTTTGACTACCTGTCTGGTAAGGTCACCGGAATCCTTGCAGATAGATATGTAATGTCATCCTGTTGAGAATATTTTACTGATTCTCAGGTACCTAACTCCTGTTTAGGAAAAATTTCTTCTGTTTTTCAGCACGTTAGTTTGTGGTAGAGAAATCACTTATTGTATCGTACACCCTGTACCATTTGAGGCATTTTACACTTTTGATATAATTTATTCTCTTTCTCAAATTGGAACCGTTAAAATTGAACACAGTTTGTGTTTCGATATAATTTAATACAGGTCACCGCAAAACGCTTCCTGAGCTATAAAGAGGAACGTAGTCTGACCTGATCAAATAAACTTTTATTTGTTAGTTCCGTGCTCAAACCAAATTTTCGTGTTTTAGTCAATAAATTCAGTGTGCCACAGTTCAAAATGTGTAGTAATTGATTTCCCCATAAGTAAACTTGAATCCTGGTCAAACATATGTAAATACCCTACACTAAGTGACTTTAATGCACCGTCTATAAATTAAGTAAACTTCGAAGTAGGGTCTAGTTTGATTACAAAATGTTAGAAACCATATTCTCTCTAGCTTTATACCACCACATTATGGATCCTACCAGATGTGACCTACGAAACTCCTTGTCTCTCTTGAATTTAGTCTTCACACACTGTGATGCTATCAGCCAAATGACTTTCTCCACAACTTTGCGGAAAAGTGGTCGTGCAGTCATCTTATTCAAGTTCACGGCTGAGATTGCCTGTGAAGCAGTTACAACGGCCCATCCTAACGTATGGAAGGCGGACATGAAGGCGATAAACCCTGCAGCCTCGGCTGAAAACTGAGAAATTGACTCAAGACATCGGTGGAAGAGGCATGGAGTCATTTCATGCAACTATAAAATAAGGTGACTCAACCGTTTATACTCTGGACAGTCTTAAGAAAGAAGTACGGCTATTATTGGATAGACAGGGATATTAACCGTTTATTAAAACAAAAAGAATATTGGAAAGTCACCATCAGCCTTGGCACAACAAATGCAATTAGATGCCACAGGTCGGTCCAGAATGTGTTTTAACACAATCAAGGCATCTTGACAAAAACATTAAAAGCAGTAATCACAATCTGTAAACAAGCAGCCAAAGGGTCTGTTCTGGTATCATTGGATTACCTACCTAATTATTGAGGGGAGCGCATCTCAAATGATATAGAATAATCAGGACAAAGCAAAGGCCGTGACGAACTATTTCGGGACAGTTTTCACCCATGAACGTTTTCTAGAAGAAGAACTCGACCGAAATACGGAGTCACATAATCGGATGTTCACTGTGAACTTCGGTTGAGACGATGTACTAAAAGCGCTTGTAACTTCAGATACGAAGTCATCAGCAGGACCGGATGAATCACACTAAATCAGTAGATGTTACCCACATAGACTTTAGTAAAGCATCTGATAAAGTGCAGAAAAATATATTACTATTGAGGCTAGAATATCTAGGATTTTTGGACCTCCTCAAAAGTGGATTAAGGATTTTTTGGTAGGTTATGGACAGAAAGTGAGAATAAATTCAAAGTTCTCCTCCTGGAGACCAGTAATTAACGCAGTACCGCAAGGCTCTGTCCTGGGTCCTTTACTTTTTATGCTGTACGTATATGAACTCCTATATGCAATTAACTCCTCAATGCTACTATACACTGGAGATGTAAAAATCCTGCGAAAAAACAACAGCAGACACAGATGCATGTGCACTTCGGGAGAACTTAGATGTCCCGATCAACTGGTCTAAAAAATTAGTCAAGTATGTTTCCATGCATTTTGGGGATACAAATGTGATAGGCACGGCATAGGGGAAGTGCCCGTACCCATGTTTCAGTCTCATAAAAGTCTTCGGGTGACGGTGAGTCATAATCTTAAGACCACGGTGCACTGCCAGGAGGTTGCAGCTAATGTGCTTGGAGACCTATGGGCTTTAAAACGGACACCTACAAAGTTAGATACTAGTACGTTCACTACAGTATACACAAATTTAGTGCTATCTAACTGGACAACTGCGCTCAGGCTGCAAGCCCTCGTTTAAAAAATGACTCGGATATCCTGGAAAAAGTACAGAGGGCAGCTATCCGTGAAACTCCAGAACTCCGGGGTTCGCCATACAAATAACAGCTTGAGAAGCTGAATCACATTGTTCTATCCTATTGCTGACTGACTGATCGCAGACTAAGAGGTGATTTGATATATCGCATATATCCTCTCTTTTGCTTCTTACCAAACCACGACAACTCAAAAGACATAGTGGGCCAATGGAAAAACCAAGAACCAAAGAAATACTAGCAGCATACAGGTTTTCACATCGAGTTAACAATTCTTGGAAACTGTTACCTGAAGCAGTCGTGTCTGCTCCTTCAATCAGTTCATTCAAGAAACGGCCAGACATTCTCGGCTCAGTAGTGAATGACAGACACAGGCCGTAGGCCTTGTTTTTATCACATGAATCTGAATCTGTTTGCCGTTAATCAACATGATAAAGCCGACGAATATTTCAAATGGTTTCGAATGTTTGTGGACGGAATAAAAGTAGCTTTCGCTTCCGTACCTAGAAGCAGTGGACCACCGATGCCTCTAGCTATGAACCCAGTTATGTTTACCAGTAATTCGGGTTTTACCAGTAAGTCATAGTGAAATGCTGTCATAAGTCCCCAAGTATATTTCAAGTTCAATCTTGAAGGAATCCTGGGAAGACACTTAATAATAATAATAATAATAATAGTAATAATAATAATAATAATAATTTTATTCTCAAATAACAGTTTGTTACATGAGGCATGCCAGTTTACAGGCAAGATCAAATTGATACAAATGATACAATATCCACTGTAGTAAATTACATAGCTGGGTTGATAATTTATAAGATATGAATGTAGATGGTTTTAATCAGTACTACAGTTGGCGCGCTTCACGAAAGTTGCGCTGCGAATGTGCAGGCAGCGCTCCAGGGGTATCGCGACACTTTTTTGCGCTACTTTTTCATTTCTGCTTTGTGCACAACCAAAATTTGAAATTAATTATGAATAAATTTGAAAGTCTATTTTCCGTTTTCATAATTAGGTGAAAAGGGGTTTTTCCGTTTTGCGTTACATGGTATCGCGAAGTCCTTGAAAATTCATTATTCAGGTGCTGCTATAATAGTTTTTTAGTGTTTGCATCGCAGACTAGCACTTATTTCTACTTGAATTTGTCTACCATCAGTGTATATCTTTTATTTTTATATGAAATAGCATGATTGAGGCATATATCGTCATAAAAATTGTATTGTCAAGGCTATCAAAACTGCGTTACAACTAACGATACCATGGTAAGATTTATCGTTTTTCCCGTCTTTATCACAATTTCGGCTGATTTTCACTGTTTTGTCCGACTTTCATGGCAGAAATAGGTTGATAGTGAAAACATTGGGTGTCCCGAGTGTTGTAAATATTATGTATATGCTATAGATGATAATAACACATACCAAGATGTTAATATCACCTTCTACAGTTAGATATATTAGCCACTAGATGATTATATTGCAGGAAATAAATCATAATCATGCGAAAGAGGTATAATTATGTGGAGATTTTACCAGAGACCAAGCTAAGATAGCATTACTAACTCTTGTGTAGATCTACACAAGTATTTGGCTGTACCAAAGCATGTCATTGAGATATGGTTGTGACTTTTTTTCTTCTTTTAATTTAGAACTCACGGGACGACTACCTCAATTCTCAATAGCCATGCAATTGTTTTGATGTTCTACCTACATTTCAATAAACATTATTTTTCAAACAGCTTACTTTCTTACTTACATGGGAAACTGTAGAAGTGTTGAGAATGTGTGTTTGAGTGCCAATGAACTTTTGATTAAATGCACATTCCTTATAAATAATACATCACTTGTTCCTTCTTTTGCAGATAATTTAAAATAACAACTAATTAGCAATTGCATTGGATATGCAAAACATTCGATGTTTAAGCTTCTGCTCTAGTGTTGTACAATAATACGCTTTACCTCATATGATTTTGAGATGATGTCCATGAAGGTGGGAGCTTATAAATGTCGCAACCTTATGTCCCTTTGGAATGTCTAAGGCTTTGAGGATGGTGCAGGATAAAATCTTTCGTTCCATATCACAAGGGGGCTGAAAGAGGGAGCAAGTAAAAGAAAACACGAGGGGCAGAGTAGCCAATATTCATGAAGAAATGTTTAAGGTATGATTACTCCGTCTAATTTTCTTTTATTAAGGTATTTGTTAAGAAAGAGCATTTTAATAGGTTAAAGAAACTAAGTGTTAACAAGGTGTGAGTGGACATACAACTGACAAATGGAGGCGATTCGGAAAGGAGCTGAGAGTATGGAATTATGTGTGATTATAAAATAAAATATAGTGCTAGAAACAGTATTGTGATATACGATTGGCTGTCTTTCTTTTTTTATCGAAGCTAGTAGAGCCCCTTTCTTTTTTTATAATTTTTTTCCAGGTATTTATGGGGTCTTGAGTAGGCTTCGTATATTAGCGAATTGTCTAGTTTGCTTGTAATAGGATTACTGGGTAGGAAGTGAAACCAATTCAACGTTCGTAACACGATTTAATGAGGTATTTTGCGTGATAAATCAGCATCAATACCATAAATTCGTGACATCCCACTAAACCATAAGGAGCCGTTATTAAACAAAATGTTCTGCCCTACAGACATGGGTGGATTGAATTTATCTCCCCACCATCATGTTTGCTGGTCAGTAACGCCACCCTCCCTCCTTTTGTGATGTTAGGCTCTCTTACGTTTGTGGTAAGTATGAATACTGCTTTAATCAAAGCCCATAGTTGGAATACACTGTCTCTACTAGGTTCATGTTACAAGCAAATCAGATAGTTGAAAAGTCTTTTATGGGTTAGATGTCCATATAGTATATCACACTGCTATGAAAATAACTAATGGTTTAAAGAAGTAAGGACTAATAGTAAATCAAAAGATATGAGAGGGTATAAAATTGTAGAAAAAAATTTCAGGGTAAGACAAATAAAGCATTGAGAAACTCACAAGACTTTGTGGCCAAATTTTGAGCTTTGTATGATCGGCCTTGGTAGATCAGCTTCCATAAGATTGAGCTATCTGTCTACTTGCAGTAGAAAAAAAAACATGACTTTTAGGGAGAATAATGTACATTTAACCTGTAGAGATTTGGGAACTGAAAGCTAGGGTTAAGAGCATGAAGTCATGATTTATAAACAATAAATAATAGGAAAGGATAAGCCATATATCCTGTGATTTGGTTATATTCGTATTAGTAACAGTCGAACTTGTTATAATCTTGTTCTTTCTAGATACTAGGCGGTCCGTAATAAAGTGCCTCATCGGTGGGCGGGAGTTCAAGGAACTGTTGAAGCTCTTTGGAGTCTAGAAATAGGGTTATTAGCTTTTTGAATCTGGTAAACGTATCACAGTTGCGGATAGGCATTGGCAGCCTGTTCTACACTAAAGCGTACTGTAAAAAAACTTACAACGCATTTGTTTTTGGTGTGTTACGGTAAGTAGTGTATATGCGTTGTTTCTAAGTCTATATGCTGGGTCGTGGGTGATAGTCGGGCAGGAGGTTAGAAAGGAGAGCCCATATATCGCTTTGTAGAGAAATATTAAATTGTTTTTTAGCCTACGGTGCCATAAAGGTTCCAAAGATAGATGCTTACATCTGTCTGTGTAATCGATATTCAAGTTACATCCTAGTAGTTGACGTGTGAAACGTCTTTGAACATCTTCTACTCTTATCTTGTCTGCGATATTCATATTAGAGAAGACAAAAGAGAAGTATTCAAGGGAGGGTCGTACACATATTTTGTAGAGAGTAAGTTTACCCTCTGTTGTGAAAAAGTTTTTCATTATAAAACCAATTAGCCGTCTAGATTTAGAAATAATAGAGGAAGCATGTTCTTCAAAGTTCAGGCTTCCTGTGTAGTTAATTCCTAAATCGTGTACTGATTCGAGTGTTTGGACTCTACATTCATTTAAGTGAAGTCGCGGTTTATAGGGATGCTTTCCAAAGTGCATGATCCCGCACTTGTTGAGGTTAAATGGTAATTGCCATTTTTCACTCCAGATAGTTAAGCTATTGAGGTCCTTTTGGATCTGGGATACACTTTCGCTTAGTGTCTCAGGCTTATAGCTGTATACTATTCTGAGATCATCAGCATATAAGTATGGTTTCCCAAATTCTATGGTGTTACATATATCGTTTATATACATAAGAAACAAAAGTAGACCTAATACGCTTCCCTGGATGACTCCACTGGTGATTGGTCTAGGGGACGAGAGACAGTCATTGTACTTTACCATCTGTTTACGTTCTGTTAAGAACGAAGCAAACCATGAGTACAGTGGGTTGTGTATTCCGAAGGAATTTAGTTTGACGAGTAGCCTTTTGTGTGGGACCTTATCAAAGGCTTTCCTAAAGTCTAGGAATAGGACTGATACAAGGAGTCCGCTGTCTCGTTTCAGAGTTATATCATTCAGGTAGTCTACTAGGCATGTGTCGCATGATCTGGACCTAAGAAATCCATGCTGGGAGGTCGAGATGAGATTATTAGTTAGTAGATGTTGGACTACAGCCGCCTTAACTACTTTTTCCATCACTCTGGATACCACTGAAGTTATGTTTATAGGCCGGTAATTTTCAACGTTTGCTTCAGGTCCTGTTTTAATTTTGGGAATGATATGTGTAGTTTTCCAGGCAGTAGGGTAACACGCTGAAGAGAGTGATATCGCGAATAGTTTGAGAAGCAAAACACACATATCATCACCTCCACGTTTTAGCATGCTAGATGGAATACCATCTGGTCCATCAGTGTAGGAGTGTTTTAATCTACTGATTGCCTTGGAAATATTTTGTACATTGAATTCTACATTAGTAATTTCACAGGGAGTTACTGGGATTGATTCTGAATCATTAAATGGCTTTTCGTTAGTTAGTGAGAAACAAAAATGTTCACTAAATAATTCTGTGACAAGTTTAGGATCTTCGTATACTTGTTTGTCTTTAATGAATATACTCCCTCTCGATTTTGAGCGTTTAAGTTTATTTTGGAGTAGTATGGTGAGTGCAGAGGAGTTATTATTAAGTTCAACTGCACGTTTTTCCTGTGCTACTGCTTTTTGTTTACTTATTGCCTCTGTTCGGACAAGTATTTCTGTCATCGTTACTAAAGAGGAAAAGTCATTTAAGTTGTGGAATCGAGTACAATGTCTTTGAAGACGTCTTCTTGTTCTGATCGGTATATAGAGATCTTTGGAGAACGTAGGTTTACAGTATTCTAAAGGTGCGATGTTGTTGATGATACTTTTGATGTTGTGATAAAATATATTGGTTTATGTGTCGGTATTGTTTGAGGTAAAGAAAGTTCTCCAATCAGTGCTTCTTAGGTAATTGTGGAAGTTATTCCAATCAACCTTGCGATAGTTTCTACGAAGTGTTACGGTTTTACTTCTATCGGTTGTGGCTTTTACATTAAGGCTGCATATGACAATGTTATGATCACTACCTGGGAACTTTTTTCCAATGTACAAAGTATTGGGGATGAGGCCACTGGTAAAGACTAAGTCTAAGATGTTTTGATGTCTGGTAGGGCTATCGACATACTGAGTCCATTGTCCAAGATCTAGACATTCAATAAATGATTCATAACGTCTGGGCGCTTTGACTGGCAGCCAAGAAATTTCGGGCATATTGAAGTCACCACAAATGAGCTTGCCTGTGAATGAGAAGGATGATGCTAGTGTGAATACCTCCGATAATACTGCTATTTCATCTATTGATGCGTTAGGTTGACGATAAACACAGCCAAGCAGTAAGGTAACGGAATTCGACGGCTTTAATACAATCCACACCGAATCCTTCAGTTTGTTTAGTTCAGGCATATCACATAGCAGTGAGTTTAGGCTAGAGTGAGCGTAAATAAGGCATCCTCCGCCTCGTCCATTCAATCTGTCGCTTCTATATAGAAAATAGTTGTCAAGAGATATTCTTCGGTCGGAAATATTACTGTTCGTCCATGCTTCAGATATCATAATAAGTGATGGTTGTTATATGGATACAAACAGGGCTAAATCCGTCTTTTTGTTGCAGATCGATCGAGCGTTGATAAGACATATTAAGCAAGTGGCCTACCAAGTTAAAATGGGTGAGGGTATCTCGGATAAAGTCATCGTAACCCTCGCGGGTGTGAGATGAGTTTGATGTGAGGGATTGGATGTTCTTCATTAGCTCGGTATTTTGATAGCTAGACTTAGTGGGAGATGTATCAAATGAGCTAGTGAAGTTGATTGGGGAGTTTACCCAGGAGGAAAGGGTGGGAGTACTCTCTGATGGAAACTGTACGGAGGAAACAAATTTATGGTTTGCATGTGGTTTGAAATAACCTGGACTATGTGCTTCAACAGAGTTGTCACCAGGGGTCTTATTCCAAAAAAATCTTGTACAGGCCTACTGTGAAGTGTATGGTTATTTACAAAATAGTCTTGATGGTTAGACTCGTAGCCCCTGTTATGGCTATTTAGGTTAGCGTGAGAGGGGTCTGCTACGCGTAACTGAGAGGAGTTGCGACTCTCGTTATACATGGGAGCCGTTGTTATGTGACGAGTCGGTACTAAAGGGTGTGAGAGGTTTTCTTTCTGAGAGTAATTACAGTTGCGATCCTGAGGAATGTAGGTAGGGTGTGGAGTGAGAAACCTATTATTACCATTCTTATTTATGGTTTTAGGCTTCAGAGGGTGATTTGGGTGACCAGTTCTTTGGTAGTTTTCGTTAGTCTGCGTGTAAGAAGGCTTGCTACGCTGAAGCCCACCACCCTTTTTGCAACTTGGAGGTGTTGAAGGCAAGTTATACGATAGCAGCTGGGAGAACCTGTTCACTGTTCTTGGGATACCTATAGAGCAGTTGGGTTCAATCTTACGTGTTTCCCTATTTGGTATCATGAGTTTTGTCTTCCCACCCTTTATTTTCAGAGCTGGAGTCTTCCGTTATCTCTGTGAGATGAACTTACGTTCATTCAAGTCTACTTGTGAAATATCTCTAGGAGGACAAATTTTCAAGTGTACAGGTTTAGTTGGATGTGTGTTGTTACACGACTCACATTTTAGTACATTACTGAACGAACAGCTGGGATTAGTCATGTCGTTATGGTTTTTGGTGTCAGTTGGGGTCCGTATCTTATCCAAAGGTTTCTGATCTGTAGACTCATCTAGATCAACAGAGTGATCAGCCGTATGTGGAGTGGTGTCATGCTTATTGTTCGTGTGTTTTAAACTATTTGCTGTGTTGCAAACTGTCTCTGGCTGATTATTAACTGTAACACTCGCATTCAATTCTATCGCTTCGCGTCTTCTTACACGACGTTGACAGGGCGTAAGGTCTGGAGTAACTTTTATATTCTTGTATGGAATTAGTGAGCTAATATTTTTACTTAAATTAATAAACTGCTTAGCATCGTTACAACAGCCAAACATAAACAAAAGGGGGCAAGTCGATCTGTCTGACTTTTTTCTAAGGCGGATTACTTTGCAGTTAACGTTCGGCATACCACATGCTCTAAGGCAAATATCCCTTAACTTAGATGGGTGTGTGCGGTCGGGGAGGTTATACACAACTGCATTGTAGGAGGACATCACTCTCTTCGTCACTTCTTCAGCCACAAACTCTAAAATACACTCAGCTTTAGTGAGTTGCTCAAGATTTCTGTCTGTGTCAAGGCCCCATATATGAGTGAGGGGTCCTAATTGCTCAAGTTTGCCGTTAATTTCGGATAGAGAGTTTTGTAGCTCTCGGATGTCATTACTATATCTATCAGTATTTTGGTGTGTATGAGGTGGACCATTGGACTCTTTAGTTTTTGAAATTTTAGATTTAGGCCTTGGTAGCACATACTGTCTAGTAGACTGTGCTGGCTTTTCTATGCACGTAGGTATAGTGTCTTGTATGTCAACCAGTCTTACCGTTGGTATACTGCACGTAGAGATAGAGGGGCTGCGACATGGAGAATCTGATGACGATAGAGACATTTGTGTACAATACACAAATTTTTCAGTAGTTAAAGGTTCGACATTGTCAAGCACTGAGTCGTCAGTTGTAGGGGTTACAGATTTGGACCTTTTATTTGGCTTAGAAGTTGGTGAAATTTCTCTTTTAATGGAGTTATTGGACATGATATGAAAATAAGTGAGCACAGTGCTCGTTCAATGAAATATAATATCTGAGTATTAGTTGTTATTAAGTATTAACCTGGTTAATACTAGGATTAGAGACTGCGAGTATATAATGAATTGCTGATCTATTTACGACTAAAGTCCGCAATAGGTACAATACGAACTGGTAATTGTCCGTCGAATAAAAATAAGTTTTTTCCTTATTTTTCGGGGTAAGATGTACCCGATGTACAGTACAGGATGATAATCACAGTATAATACACCTTACAAAAGAGCAAGTCGAAGAATTCCTAAACCACGTGAAAAAATGTTACCACTTTCAAAGTTCGCTTGAACCATCCCAGAGAATTCCATAACCTGACTACTTGTGAAATGTAGATGTGACCATAGCCCATTTTGCTATACGCGTTCCTAATTCCTGTGTGTTACTCCTAAAGTTTGCATTGAGACTGAGCTGAAGTAAATTTATAAGGGAGTGCTTAGGGGCATCAAGGATGCTATAAGTCATCAGGTCACCTCTGAGACCCTTATAAACTAATTAATGAATAATAATAATTACAATAATGAAGACTACGTGATTTGAGGTTCACTATATGAGGTTGGATTTAAGACCCGAAACTTATTTCATGGCTTGTCTGTGTTCTAGTTTACTCTTATTCTCCTGGAGTGAGTTAGGAAACACCATGTATACGTACTCAAAATGAGGTGGAATAAGGCTGTCGGAGATTAAATGTAAAACTGAAAAAAAAGTTTAAACATTACCAGTGCAAGGTTTTCATCAAAATCATTTTGCCTCAGTTAGCACAGCACTTTAGATAATAGGGTACCAACACTTCTGGATCCTTTTAAAATCGAAATACTTCCAGAGGGAAATAACCTAAGTTGTATGCATAGTCATCGACATATCTTGGACAGGCCACTTTACCCTTTGACATGAAGTCAGCTAATCTTGATGTACTTGCTTGTTACCGTGGCTCCAAGCTTCCCTTCAAAGCTTAAAATCGTCCACGAAAAACAATAACTCATATTATACTTGCTCGTGAAGGTCACCTACACAAAAATCAGAAGGAAAAGAGTCCCTAGTACTGAGTCCTGGAGGTTACTGGTAGGACATCTCGTAGTCTGCAAAAAAAGTCAAGTTTTATGAACCCTGAAAAGTTGATTACCCAGATTCTAAGTGAACCAGCCCATTAACAGTACCTTGAAACCTAGCAGGTTTACCCTATTGATCAACCCTATAGAAAGCTTTTGAGAAACCATTGTATATGAATAAATCTTTCCCCTGCGACCACAGATTACTGTCCATCTGTCCACCGAGGTAAAAAGGGTGGTTATCTAGGAGTGATCCTGTCTGAAACCCCGTTATTGAGATATGAAGACGTTTGTAGGTAGCAAAGAATTCACGGCCTTCGAGGGTATCGCGTGAGGTGCTTCCAACTAGATGCTTAAATGTCTTTTGAAAAATGATAAGATGTCCATCAGTTCTCAGTTGTCTGGTACTCTGACTTGGATTAGCGATCGTAAGAACATAACACTAGACAGTATTGAAAAGATAAACGCATCATCTTCCAGTGCAGTGAACTTAACCACATTCAGACCTGGACAAGTGTCCTTGTTTAGATGCTGCAGTTTATAATGCGCAAATCTAGCACTCTGTTTCGCCCCTTAGGTTCCTGTTGAAATGCAGTTTGTATGTGACGGTTTAAATGCATGAAAGAACAGTTCTTCTAGGAGCTCTACGGCGTCACTGTCGTTTTTCGTTGGACCATTAGTACCTAACAACTAGGAAATTCCGGTTTTTGGCTCGTCAGAGGCTGTATGATGGAATAAACTTTTCGGAATATAGACAAATTACTCGATCAGTACGATATGATACTGAATCTTATTTTCTTTCATTGATATTTTGCATTGGCTTCTTGCTTGTTTGAAATGTCTTTGACTTTGTAGTGGCATTGGACCATAAACACACAATCTTCAAAGCTGAACACAAGACTACTCGGAAAATAGATATTCAATATTTAACGCGGAGAAATATCTAACGATGGAGAAGGCGGGAAGAATGTATTGGATGAATTGGAGTTGATCGAATGGCATGGCTCGGCCACGTAGGCATAGTCCC